TTTTTTTTTTGCAGGAAAATTCTTCCACTGAGTACTGATGGCTGTCAAGGGACTAGTCTCGTCGATCGTCAAGTTTCTGACAGACCAATTGCAAGATGGTGACATAACTGCTGACTCGCGAGAGAGCTTAGAGGTGGCAATTCAGTGTCTGGAGAGTGCTTACAATGTGCAAGCCTCCGACGCTCCGGCAAACGTAAATCTGTATCAAATTTACAAGAATGTAGTGGAGAACGCCGCGCCAGTTCTAGGTCCAGACGCCACGCCGGAGGCAAAGGCTGAAGCGGAAAGATTGAAAAATGAAGGCAACGCACTCATGAAACAAGAGAAGCATCACGAAGCCCTTGCCAATTATACAAAGTACTTGCATAGTCTCACTTTATTAATTTTTCCACAAATATTGTTCTTCTTTTAACTTGAGCTTATTTGTTCGTTCGCAGGGCAATAACATTAGATTCTCGCAATGCAGTGTATTATTGTAATAGAGCCGCCGTTCACAGCAAACTTGGCAACCACACCTTAGCCATCAAAGACTGTAACACGGCGCTCTCTATCGATCCCTCGTACAGCAAGGCGTACGGTCGACTAGGTTTAGCGTATTCTAGTTTGGAGAGGCATAAAGAAGCCAAGGAGAGTTATGAGAAGGCCTTAGCGATGGAGCCGGATAACGAAAGTTATCGAAACAATTTACAATTAGCAGAGGAGAAATTGGGCCAGTTAGGTGTCAATCAATCCCTGCCTAACTTGCCCGGCATGGACTTGAGCACCCTTCTAAGCAATCCCTCTCTAATGAATATGGCGCGTCAAATGTTATCCGACCCGGCTATGCAGAACATGATGTGTAATCTCATGTCCGGCAACGTGGAAGAAAGTGGTCGCATGGATTTACTGATTGAAGCGTAAGTTTGGCAGAACAGAATCGTCAATTTCACCGTTAAGTTTGATAGATCGTGTCACGTCATCATCCATGACGCGTGATCCGTGTGGAACAGTTTATACAGTTGTGCGTAAATGTTTCAGGGGCCAACAGTTGGCGCAGCAAATGCAGAACACAAACCCCGAATTGATCGAATCGCTGAGACGGCAAATGGGCGGCAATCCAAACGATCCACCGGAACCACCGCAACAAAATTAAAAACATGGCTGGTTGTGTGACAGATGGACATGAACTTTGTGGACATCATAGCTGACTTTCTTTCTTACTCGTAGTTACACAGACCAGTTGTATCATTTTCTAAAACGCTACAAGGCGAGAAACTTACAGGCTTCAATGATAATTCTATCGTCATATCTAAAGCGACAATGCGCGTACCATAGAATTCATTTCATAGATTAGGACACTACGGACGTAATATCGGGCCTCTATTCTCCACCCCCATCTTCTCTTTGGCCATTGTACAATTTTTGATAGCATACGTGCAAAGATTGATACAACAAAATGCCGCGATGATTTGAGTGACTAACAATTGAGCGATACCTAATTCACCCCGGCATCTCATCCAGGGCATTATTTCTATCGTGCGCTTATTACAAATGACAAATGCGGATTTGTATAACGCAATTGTTTATTATGTCTCGGATGAACAACTTGATTATTCTATTGACGCAAAATATACAGGGATATACCGAACGAGTCGCAAACCGTTTGATATTTTATTCATGTGTTCCACGCATATTGTACGAAATAGAACATTTTTGTCAACGTTTTATAAACGTGTGATCATTATATGATCATTTAAAAACCTTTGACTAATCATAGACGGGAACTTTAGCACCATCAAGTTTACAGTCTCGCGTTTCTCGAACATGCGGGTACCTTAGCACATTGCATGTTTAAAACAAAAGCAACGTGCTAATATTAATAAACTGTAATAAAAATCGCATGATTTCATGAAGAGAGATTCGGATTTCTATTTCATTATTTCGCCGTATTTTTTCCATCATGATTGGAAAATTCTTCCAATCGCGCTCTGAAATAATAGATAATTAAAAGAAAACCAAAGAAGTACAAAAATCGAGGCAGCAAATAAAAAGCTTCCGACAAACACACTCGTCTTTGACTTGTAAGTTATCAAATTCGCGAATTGTCGAAGAATCCCCGATCGAAGTTACACATATCTGCTGGTTTCCTCTTTCTTTCTTTCTTTTTTTTTTCCAGGAGAACGATCTCGATGTAAACTGAACTAGATAAGCGAGAACGCACGCACGTGAACTCGCGCGGCGCGCTTTCTATACCCGCAAGAAGAAAGGTATAGCTGCTCGCGAGCCGGAGAGCGCGGCTCTTATCGGCCGTATCTCGTAAGACGAGAGGACGAGAGCGTTCGCCGCGCGTTGATAATCAATCGGATACGATTTCTCCGCCGCGCGGGCGAGACGCGCGCGCATATACGTAAAATTCCATTGACGGCCGTCTTCCCCGCGTGTCCCACGGGACCGCGGCCGGGCGTGACGAGCGCCAGCCAATATTCCACGTGCGTCACGCGATGACATCATTCTTATTTGGCTACGACGCGCACGCATAGTACACACGCGCGCGCGCTCGTATACTTATTATTTTTTCTTTCTACGAATACGCACGCGCGGACGGCGTGTATGTACGTACGCCGGTTATATCGGTTGATTAGTAACACCTCGATTATTATCCGCGATTAGAAGTGATTAGAAGCGGATCGTTCGTGGGTGTCTCTTTCGGATCAGCTGACTGTCAAAGTCCATTCACGAATAGAATATATGCGAGTTGTAGGTTGTAGGAAAAAGAATCGGCGAAGAGGCTCGGTTATATTGAAGAATTCCCCGAGAGTGAAATTCGAGTTGCTCGTAAAATTCGCTTGTCAATTCGGATCCCCGCGCCTGCGAACGTCACCGGGAAATCCCGTCCCCGCGTCCTTGAACTCCTCCTGAAAAAGAGAGGAGAGGGACAAAGAAGTAATAAACGCTCCATTTCAGAGAGACCATTTCATTTCGCGGGCAATTGGGAGAGGGGGGAATTCTTGACGCCGGCATTTATTTTATCCGGCCGATAAGCCGGTTAATGACACGCTACGTGCACGCACGCACCGGCGTGAAATTAGTTCATCGCGAAAGTGTAGACATGTGAATTTCCTACATATACATACATTATATGCAACGTAAGGCCTGTTAGTTTTTAGCTGAACTTCTTGCACAGCTTATATTTTCTCTTTCTCTCCACACCGTGAAAAGAAAAAGAGGAGAGATGAACTGCGCAAGAAGTTCAGCTAAAACGAACAGGTCTATATTATAATTCCGATTGCCATGTAATTATTAGATCGAATTTCTAATCTTTTTCCGTCTCGCAATAAACAATTTTAAACGCTTACTTTTTACAATAAAATCGCACCAGCGAAACTGTATCTTCTGTTGTACAAAACGTAGTATAAGCAACTCTCATTTTTTTATTCTTTATCCCAAAAATCCGCGCGACTGTACATTCTTTCGATTTTCCGTTGACTTCGCAATACCCTGAAATCAAACGAACGATCTTATAGAACACAAGGAGAAATGCAGATATAAAAAATATCGCGCCTCGAGCATGTTTTTGTTTTCCTCTGAGAAACTCGGCGAACTTCGCGCTGCGCGCGCGTACTTGTCGCAAAACGCAACGGCGAACGGCGGTAGAGAGACGGCCGCGTTATTTACATATTTTCCAACCCTTTCCTACATCCACCTACGAGCGTCGGGTGGCGGTGGCACGAATCGGAGAAGCGTGAAGTCAGCGAAGCGAAGTGTGCGCGCAAAAGTTCCTTCCACAGGTCCGTGACGTGCGGTGCGCCGGCGGTGTGCGGTGGCGCGCGATTCGCCGGTTTCGGTTAGCAGGGCTGGGGCGAGGCGCGGCGGGCGCGGGCGCCGCGCGGCCCCGGGAACGGCGGACGAATTTCCGAATCGATCCCGTTAAAAGCCGTTTGGCGTCTCGCCGCGCTTTTTTACGATCGATGTGACTTGACTCTCGCGAGGAAAGACCGCGTGAACGAGATATACGCGTCGTTAAAAGCCACGCTCTTCTCGCACGCACCTTCCACACCTTTTAGATCTTTTTTATTTTTTTTCTATCTCTATTTTCTGATCGATCGATTAATCGTTATTCCAGTCACGTCGGAATCACGTTGATAATAACGTATCGCGAAGTCGATGCCCGTACGGCCTGACAAATTTATGGACGTCGACCCGGTTTCGCGAAGCCGGCGGCGCGCGACACGTTCGCGCCGACGCGACGCCGGCGCTCGACACGCCCCTGAAAACAACGAGCCGAAGTTGCCCGTTGCCGCCGCCGCCGCTGCCGCCGCCGCTCGTCCCCACCACCGCGGCCATTCGCCGCACGCTCAACAGATCGAGGTGTGGCCATCGAGGGCAGCCATTTTCTTGACTTTCTGTCGCTTAAGATTTCAGGTAAATACGCAAATATCTCTTAAGTTAACTCCGGCCGGAGTGGTGCGAGGGTGCGTGGTGCGCCGTGCGTGCGGGCTTCGCGAGGGTGTCCGGGCGTCACGTTGGAGATCCCGCCGGGACGTCGGCCCGGGTACGGTGCTAAAAGAGGGAAAAAAAAGAGGAGCCTCCTCCTCCGTGAATCGAGAGTGAGGAAGAGAGAGAGAGGGAAAGAGCGAGACGGGGGACAAGTAGACGGAGAAAGAGAGAGAGAACGGGTTGCGCGAGGAGACCTCGAGGGAGTGCCATGCGTCGCGATTCTCGTCCGTTCGGTATCACCGCGCGGCGAGACGCGCTCTGAACACAGCGGCACAACTCAGCTCGACTCGGCGTTCACGTCGTGCCGTACTCGCGTCGTTGTTCGTGCGCGCGATTCGTGCTTAGTCTACGTCCACGTCGTCATCGTTATCTTCGTCGCCGCCGTCACCGCCGCCGCCACCACCGTTGCCGCTGGCCGCTGCTGTCGCGGAACCGAGCGTCAATCCGTGCGACGGATCTCTTGGAATGCTCTCGGGCTCTACCTGACACTACGTGGCCGTTTAGTCCAGTAAGTAAACGCCTATTTCGCTCTCTCTCTTTCTCTCTTTCTCTTTCTCTCTCTCCCTCTTCCTCTTTCTACTGTCGCGACGACTG